AACATTATACATTCACAGCATTATATGTTCACAGCATTCTACATTCACAGCATTATACATTCACAGCATTATACACTCAAAGCATTTTGCGTTCACAGCATTATACGATCACAACATTATACACTCAAAGCATTATACGTTCACAACATTATATGTACACAGCATTATATGTACATAGCATTATACCTTCACAGCATTATATCTTCACAGCATTCAAAACATTATACGTTCACAGCATTATACGGTCACAACATTATACATTCACAGCATTATATGGTCACAGCATTATACGTTCACAGCATTATACGGTCACAACACTAAACATTCACAGCATTAAACGTTCACAGCATTATACGTTCACAGCATTACACATTCACAGCATTATACGGTCACAGCATTATACGGCCACAGCATTATACGTTCACAGCATTATACGTTCACAGCAGTATACGTTCACAGCATTATACAGTCACAACATTATACGTTCACGACATTAAACGTTCACAGCATAATACGTTCAAAGCATTATACGTTCACAGCATTATACGTTCACAGCATAATACGTTCAAAGCATTATACGTTCACAGCATTAAACGTTCACAGCATTAAACGTTCACAGCATTATACAATCACATCATTAAACATTCACAGCATTATACGTTCACAGCAGTATGCGTTCACAGCATTATACAGTCACAACATTATACGTTCACAGCATTATATGTTCACAGCATTATACGTTCACAACATTATACGTTCACAGCAGTATATGTTCACAGCATTATACGTTCACAGCATTATACGTTCACAGCATTATACATTCAAACATTATAAGTTCACAGCATTAAACGTTCACAGCATTATACGTTAACAGCATTAAACGTTCACAGCATTAAACGTTCACAGCATTATACGTTCACAGCATTAAACGTTCACAGCATTAAAAGTTTACAGCATTATACGCTCACAGCATTACATGTTCATAGCATTATACGCTCAAAGAATTATACGTTCACAGCATTATACGGTCAAAGCATTATACGTTCAAAGTATTATACGTTCAAAGCATTATACGTTCAAAGCATTATATGTTCAAAGTATTATACGTTCAAAGCATTATACGTTCACAGCATTAAACGTTCACAGCATTATATGTTCACAGCAGTATACGGTTAAAGCATTATACGTTCACAGCCTTATACGTTCACAGCATTATACGGTCACAGCATTATACAGTCACAGCATTATACAGTCACAGCATTATACGTTCAATGCATTTTACGTTCACAGCATTATACGTTCACAGCATCATACGGTTAAAGCATTATACGTTCACAGCATTATACGTTCACAGCATTATACGTTCACAGCATCATACGGTTAAGGCATTATACGTTCACAGCATTATACGTTCACAGCACTATACGGTCACAGCATTATACAGTCTCAGCATAATACGTTCAAAGCATTATACGTTCACAGCATTATACGGTCACAACATTATACGTTCACAGCATTATACACTCAAAGCATTATACGTTCACAGCATTAAACGTTCTCAGCATTATACGTTCATAGCATTATACGCGTCACACGTCCCCTTGTCCAAAGAACACCCATCCGGAACTATAATGTAATCACCTAATTACCGGCGCGAGGAGAAACACCGTCGCCTGCAGAAGGACTTCAGACCTTCAGGAGAGACGTGATCACCCAACACTTCATTGGGTAATTATGTAGAGGAAGCCCTTCGTAAGGAGTCTGAAGCCTCCGGGAGGAATCCAACGCAACATAGCGCACAGTGGAACGTTTTAACACCTCTCATTCCAGCTTTGACATGAGGAGAGGTATGTGGTATGTTGCAAATTGAGCATTGATGTCAATGATTAATGCTTATCCTCGCTTTTGCTTGCAAGGGTAAATTAATCACCGGATTTGCAACGGTAGATGCTAGTTATGGTTCTAAACGCAGTGGTAATTATCAGGATAATGCAATAGGCTAATTTGCCTATATAGCCCAAAGTATATATATATATATATATATATATATATGTATATTATATATTTTCACACTCGCACTATGACAAATATTTTTTTATTTTTCAAGTGTCGTCATGAGATATACTTGCCTGAATAAGCCGTGGGAAAGATCTTTTCAATAAGCATATTTTCACTCGTTCATAGATTTTCCACCTATTTTCCTTCAAAGACAAACGAGAAACTAATAACTTTTCAATCTTGCTAGTCCAGCAACGTATCAGAGCAGCGAAGTCGCACCATGTTTTATTCACACGCGTTAATATTTCCCAAAGCCACGGGTTTCACACTTATTTTCCCACCACCAAACTGTGCGAGAACTTCTCTCACTGGCGCTGGCGTGGGATGGTGCAGCGAGGGAGAGAGAGAGAGAGGGAGGGAAGGAGAGGGTCATACCAACGCCACGGTCGACACCCAGATAGAGAGTGAGAGGCCACTGGTGCTGTGAGGCTGAGCCAACCTCCCCGCCACACACACACATACATACACGCAGGGGCCTCGCGGCTGAGTGGATAGTGCCTGGGGGTCGTAGTTCTAATGACCCGGTTTTTCCACCTGCTGGAGGGGGAAACAAATGGGCAGAGTTTCTTTCATCCTGATGGGCATGTTCACCTAGCACTAAATAGGTACCTGGGTGTTAGACAGCTGTTACGGGCTGCTTCCTGGGTGTGTGTGTGAACATTTAGTAGTTAGTAACAGTTGATTGATTGAGAGTTGAGAGGCGGGCCGAAAGAGCAGGGTTCAACCCCCGTAAGCACATTAGGTGAATACAACTAGGTGAACACACACACACACACACACACACACACACACACACACACACACACACACACACACACACACACACACACACACACACGCACACACGCACACACGCACACGCACACACGCACACGCACACACACACACACACACACACGCACACACGCACACACACACACACACACACACACACACACACACACACACACACACACACACACGCACACACGCACACACACACACACACACACACACACACACACACACACACACACACACACACACACACACACACACACACACACACACACACACACACACACACACACACACACACACACACACACACACACACACACACACACACACACACACACACACACACACACACACACACACACACACACACACACACACACACACACACACACACACACACACACACACACACACACACACACACACACACACACACACACACACACACACACACACACACACACACACACACACACACACACACACACACACACACACACACACACACACACACACACACACACACACACACACACACACACACACACACACACACACACACACACACACACACACACACACACACACACACACACACTCTCACGAGAATGGTGCGGTTATGTGCTGGTAAATTTACATACACATATATGCATAGACTTACTCATATATGCATTTAAATGAATGTATGGGAAGGGGCCGTTTATCACTGATGTACACCAGGCACGTCAAACTGAGGGCCCCCGAGGGCAATATGGGCCACATTTGTGTTGTCATGAGGGCCACACACCACAACTGAGGGTCCCCAAGGCCATATGGGCCACGTTTGTGTTGTCATGAGGGCCACACACCACAACTGAGGGTCCCCCAAGGCCATATGGGCCACGTTTGTGTTGTCATGAGGGCCACACACCACAACTGAGGGTCCCCGAGGGCCATATGGGCCAAATTTGTGTTATCATGAGGGGCCACACACCACAACTGAGGGTCCCCCGAGGGCCATATGGGCCACATTTGTGTTATCATGAGAGCCACACACCACAACTAATTAAAGTCGTTTAATAACAATTATTGCATAATATTTGTATTACTTAAACTTAGAAACATACAAAGTACATATAAATGGGTTAGCGGCTAGCCACATTCATGAATGCAAAGTAATGAAGAGGTTTAACACAAGAAAAAATAAAGACATTTTAAATATAGATTTTTATGCAACCGCAATAAATACATTGTACAAAAACAGTTCAAAATGAACATTTATGATTATTCAACCATTTTTAGTGTTTTGTCCTGAGGCTTGACACCTCTTTTTAATTATATTTTTTGCTATGTCTGTCTGTAATGTCTGTGCAGTTCCCACTTCCATCAGAAATGACAAGTGTTGATCATTCAGCCTTTTTCTCTGAGAAGTTTTTGTTGATTTCATGAAGGAAAAGAACTGTTCACACACACAGGGAGAACCGAACATTGCCATAATCCTTGTGGCAAACTTTCTGAAGTTTTTAAACTTTTCAGGAACGTAGGAAAAGAAATCAGGTATCCCCACTTCAAGACACTTTGCTCTGAGTATAGAATCCGACTGCATTTCTAATGGGCTAATGGGCTAATGGGCATTTCTAATTTCTAATAATGGGCGGGGTAATCTGCAGGCTTTTTTCTGCCTTGGTAACATCAAAAGTGAATGGTGCTGATAATAAGGCAAAGTGGTGTTCAAAAGAAGAGAAATCACGAAATCTTTCCTGAAATTCATTTGAGAACAATTCCAGGTGACTGTTATATTTAACAAAGATATATACAAGACTCAGTATTGGTAGTGTTTTTCAGCTCTTTGCAATTAGGAAAATTAAAAAAATTTTAATTTGATAACTGACTTCCATAAGCTTAGTTTTATAATGAAGCACTTGATGTCAGTATACAACTGAGTGATAATTTTGTTTTTAACTTGTCATTTCAAATTAAGATCAGTTAATTGAGCTGTAATGTCCACAGCAAAACCCAGATCCTGGAGTTAACTTTAACCTTTTATTGCCTCCGTGTCATGACCTTTCATCTCCACAAACACAATTATTTCTTGTCTCAACAAATAAAAAAATTTCAGCACTCTGTGACATGAAAACCAGTGGGATTGTGTGTAGAATGGAACATTGGTAAACTGATTACCCTCATCTTCCAACAACTGGCTGAATTGACGGTGGTTGAGAGCTCGGCCTCTGATATACTTCACTGTCCTTTGTGACCAAAGTAAGCACGTGATCCAATTTTAACATCTTTGAACACAAATTTTGCTGATGGCAAAAAATGCTGTGAAAAGGTGCAAATGATGAATCTGGATGCGATGTTTCTATTTGCATTAGTAACTTGGCAGCAACACCATTAGGTCTGCCAACGATATTCGCAGCATCGTTGGTACATAAGCATGCAAGTTTACTCAAATCCAAACCATAGCCATGCAGAACCTGCTCGACTTTCTCAAAGATGTCCAGGCTGGTTGTAAGGTCATGCATGGGGAACAGTTCAAGCAGTTCTTCATAAATATTTAATTCACTGTCACAGGCCCTCATGAAGACCGCAAGCTGTGTAATTCCTTTGATGTCAACGGGCTCATCAATAGCAACAGAAAAATGTTCAAATTTTGATGATGCGGCCCTCAACTGTTGATTCAAATCACCAGACATTATATCAATCCATTCAGCACCAGTGATCCTGGTTAATGAAATATCTTTCAATAAGTGTGCTTTCTCTGCGCACACAATTTGAGCCGTTTTTCCAAGGCATTGTTTTACGAAGTCTCCTTCACTGTAAGATTTCCCACTCAAAGCGATCATTCGTCTGAGTTCATAGCTTCCAGTAACGGAAGTTACATTACCTTTCTCAATTTTTGTAAAACAATGTTGATTTCTCAAGTTAGCCTTCAATTCCCTGAGTCTTGAGACACACATTGGGTCTTCATATTTATCGTAAGATCGATGATTTTTTTATATTTATTTAAGAAAATACAATATAAATCATATATACATAAGTTTTACAAGGCAATTCTACATTATAATTCATATTGAACAAGTGTTTCATTATCACAGAACATGGTCTTTAAAACCCCTGAATGATATTGATCGCTTCATAATGTCGTTTCAAGTTCAACTTTTTGGCGTGTCAATGCTGTTGTTGCAAATTAAACAATGTATCTTTCCATTCACCGATGTGCAAAAATACTGTCATTCTCAATTTTACTTGAAACACTCGCCCTTCTTCGTTCAGTTACCCTTTTCTCTTAGCTGGAGCAGCACTATCCATTCTAAAGTTGATGTGGAATCTGACAAATAAAAAAATAGAATTACAAATCAGATCACCGGTTAACAAACTGAAGCGAAATTTAGGCCATTAACAGTTAACGTCATGTCTATTCACGCTTGTCTCACAGCTACAGAAGTCTTAACTCGCTTGGCTCACAGCTGCATTCCTGTGTCTATTTGTGCTTTTGAAATCTATTAAAAGGAGAAGGTTTAAATTATAAAACCTGTAATTTTGGCCGTTAAATGACCAAATTACAGTATCCTTTGTGCGGGCCGCCGGAGTGCTGGCAAAAGCCCGCAAATGAACTAGCAAAAGGCCTCAGGTGTGCTTACAAAAGGCTTCATGTTTGACATGCCTGAATTGTACACTACACTTCAGTACAATTGCACTGAATTGTTCACTATATATAACAATTGCAACATGTTGTAAAGTAACCCACTGAATCATTAATCAATCACGTTGTCTACGATTTTGCAAAATAGCCAACCCCCCATTTTAAGATAGCAAGTCTCCATCTTAAGATAGCCAGCCCCCATCTCAGGATAGCCAGCCCCCCCCCCCCGCTCAGGATATCCAGCCCCCCATCTCAGGATAGACAGCCCCCATCTCAAGATAGCCAGCCCCCATCTCAAGATAACTTTCACGATTTACAGTTAAGGACGTGTTGCGCCTCTAGCCCGGACACTCACTCTCCAAAATGAGTAATTCACTCTCCAAAATGAGTAACTCACTCCAAAATGAGTAACTCGCACTCCAAAATGAGTAACTCACTCTCCAAAATGAGTAACTCACTCTCCAAAATGAGTAACACGTTCTTCAAAACAGGGAACTCAATATTCGCTATTCTAATCTCTGTATTCAGACTACAATCCGTCCTCCAAATAGAACGTCGCATTTCGACGTATTCTCCGAAAAAAAAAAAAAAAAAATCGTCGTACTAGAAAATGGGAACGGCTCGCGAAATGGACACACTGTCCCGTTTTCTGTTGTGGGTCCTCTGGTAGGTTAGTATAAAGGCCCATTTAGTACGACAGTTTCTTGACGTTGGGGCACCTGAGGAGGACAGAAACAACAGAAATAGTGAACAGTAACCGTTGCTTATCGGTGATTATCCTTCACGTCAACGGGAGGCATTATAGCTTCGCTAACAACCCCAATTACGTGAACGGGAGATATAGTTTCGATACAACTACTATTTTCGTCATTGATTATGCAACCCATACCCAATTTGTGGGCGATAGTGGAAAACGTAATGACATTATATCAAATATAATGGGCTCAGTTCCTAAGCATAATGGGCTCAGGAGCTCACAAACCAAGAGAGAGATATAAATAGGAAAATAAAAGTTAAAACAAAGTGAAATAAATCTAACATACGTACAAAAATATATAAAAAATAAAAAATTAACAAAAGAAAGTGAAAATTGAAGAGAAAAATAATTTGAGCGTCACTTAACCACTTTTGACTGTATTTGATTTAAACCATGGTATTAGAGGAGGCCTCGATTCTTGCAAGTCCGCGTTCAATCCCCGATGGTCCAAGTGGTTGGGAAACTGTTCCTTCCCTCTGTCCTATCCCAACTCCCTGTTCTCATATCCATTACAAGTGCTATGTAGTCATACTGGCTTAGTGCTGTCTCCTCATAATTACCTTACTACCAATTACTTAGTCCATCACTTACTTACCAATTACTTAATAAGTCTAAAAGTTGAATAAGTCTAAAAGTGGATTTACTTAGTAAGTCTAAAAGTGAACTTACTTAGTAAGTCTAAAAGTGGACTTAGTAAAAGGGGATTTACTAAAAGGGGATTTACTGAGTCTCTAGACTCTAGACTGTAGAGGACTTTGCCGCTCCTGTTAGGACTTGAGTCTTGAGTTCTGGCATGTAAACAGGAGCGTGTCACAGGAGCGTTCTTTTGGTCATGGAAGCGTTCTAAGTGAGATACGTTCACTCGTTGCTTGTGGGACATTAGGAGTCATTGTGCGATGTGAGTAACCTCCCTACTCTCTCTCTCTCTCTCTCTCTCTCTCTCTCTCTCTCTCTCTCTCTCTCTCTCTCTCTCTCTCTCTCTCTGTGTGTGTGTGTGTGGCGCGGTCAGGTCGAAAGGCAGTCAAGGCATCTGGGTGGAGGTAGTTAACTCCGCTAATGGTGATTACTTCTGAATGATTGGGTTAGAGATGGACACACATACGACGGTTCCATTAACCGCCATAAGGGCAAAAGAATAATTGCAGAAACTTCAGCAACTTTGGTAATATCGGATGATTTTTTGTTCAACTACTTTTATAAAGATGAATATGTGTATACAAAGGTTTTATAAACAGCTTGATGCTAACCAGAAAATCATAAATAGGTTAGCGTTGTCGAGAGAACACTTATTGTTGATCAGATCGGGTGCAAGGAATGGTGCCCAATCACTTGTGGACGGTCGGGGATTGAACGCTGACTTGCATGAAGCGAGACCGTCGCTCTACCGTCCAGCCCAAGTGGTTGGGCAGTATCTAAGGGAGTTCCTAAGCAATAGAAGGAGAGTGAGTAAGCCCTGGGGATTGATATCACGCCAAACCTGGCCCCTGAAGCCCACATCAAGAGGATATCATCAGCGGCATATGGAAGGTTGGCCAAAATATGACCGGCCTTTGGAAACTTGTGTAAGGAATCATTCAGAATATTGTATACCAAGTATGTCAGACTAATCTTGGAGTATGCAGCTCCAGCATGGAGTCCATATCTCGTCATGGGACTAAATTGGAGAAGGTTTGGAGGTATGCCACCAGATAAGTACCCGAACTGAGGGGTATGAGCTGTAACACGGGTTTGGGTTTCTCTCTCTACTTCACTTCCTTCTTTGCCCTCTCTACCCGTATTCTTACTTTTTATTCTTTACCAAGGGACTCCAAAACTTTTACCAAAGCCAACTCCACGCCACGTGGTCCTAAGACGATTGACCGACTTAGGATTCTACACCCAGTATGACGTGACCTAGGCTCTGAGCAAAACCCTAGAGTCGCCTCTACGCTGCCACCACCAGACCAGCAACACAGAGCAATAATCGAGGTCTGGATCGATCACGCTAATTAATCAACCTTGGGGCTTGATCCCCACTATAAACGATGACCTTGAGAGTGGAATAAATTACACGGTAATGATAATTCCGATTCGATGTTAGAATCGGCGCCCAATCCAACTTTACCTCATGTGGACCACGTGACCAGGACAAGTTTACACATAAAACACATGGAAATAATGAAATGCAAAATATTAACAAATTTAATTTATTAAAAGAAAACTAAAACAAAATCTAAATATGTTCACTCCCTGTCACTTTAACACTCCCTACTTGACCTGAATGGCAAATGAGACTATTTCTATACATAACAATAGCAACTATACCTTGGGCGACCAGCTCTAGATGTTGGGCTGGTCTTGGGGAGAGGTAAGATGTTTGACCTCTCCCAGCTGCTCCCGTCTTCACACTGATCTCTCCCTTGTCTCGTCTACCCCAGACAGAGCATTGTAACCTTCCGCCTAGTCAAAGTTTCACCAAGTTACTAGCAAGGTTTAAGTTATAACAATTAACCTCTGTTTGTACTGAATTGATCCAGACTGGTTGAATTATTTTACTGAAATTAGATTACACAAACATCTAACGGCAAAGCTGTTCCCGATCACAAAAATGGTTATTAAAACTTTGAGAAATAGTAGACCTGTCAACCCTGCTGACCTATGACCGCCGGTCACTCCGCCTTACAAGTTAGATCTGATTCGTGACGTCACTGATGGTGACTTAAACTCAATAATTAGAATACTCTTGATATTGTACCCAGTACTATTATACAATACAATTTTACAAAATGAATAAAGGCTAATTTTCTCTAAATTACTGAATACTATAGGATGGTTCATTATACGCAGCTATGAACAAAGCGTCGGTTATTTCCACCGCGAATTCCCCTGGGGGTCAGGTCACCATGCGGGCTCAGCTTCCCATTCTCTTTTGTCGATAAACCACTCTGGATAATTCTTACAACCAGCCTAGTTTGTTACAGAGCTACGAGGAGAGACTACGAGAACTTAACCTCACGCTGCTGGAACACAAGAGTTAGGGTTATAGGTTCTAATTTTTTCATGTTTCAATTTATTCATGTATGAATATACTCATATCAGTATACTCATGTATTAATCAACCTATTTATCAATATACTCATTTATCAACTTTCTTGCGTATCAATATGTCCATAAATCAATACACTCATGTATCAGATGTTGTCATGTATGAATATATTAACGTATGAATATACTCATGAATCAATATTCTCATTCATGAATATACTCATGAATCAATATTCTCATTCATGAATATACTCATGAATCAATATTCTCATCATGAATATACTCATGAATCAATATTCTCATTCGTGAATATACTCATGAATCAATATTCTCATTCATGAATATACTCATGAATCAATATTCTCATTCATGAATATACTCATGAATCAATATTCTCGTGTATCGATTTACCCATGAGTGCACACTACATCAAGGATAATGTTCGTCTCTATACTCCACATGTTGAACATTTTTCTTTCCTAAAAAAAATATTCGTCTTAAGTACGAAAGCTTAGGTTGAACATTGTACTCCT